AATTCATCCAACCAATCATTCCTCCAACCATTCATCCATTCACTCATCAATTCATCCATCCAATCATTCCTCCATCCATTCATCCATTCACTCATCAATTCATCCAACCAATCGTTCCTCCATCCATTCATTCACACATCCATTAATTCTTTCATTCATTAATCTATCCATAAGATACATTCACATACTGTATTAGTAATAAATACATTACAAATTACATACATACTGTATAGTAATTACATGACACTTACTTATCATTAAGTTTAACTCTATGTCCCCAATTTAAAGACTTCACATGGTTTTGCACTCCTGTCACCAGAGTTTCCCTAAACACAAATAATTTATAACTTCAAATTAGCTATTGCTAACTAAGTACTGATTGACACACTATAACCAGTACCATTTAAAGGAAGTAAAACAATCACAATGAAAAGTGAAAATGAAGAGTCAAACTTGAACTACTGTATAATGTAATCAGGAGCAACAACTAATATTATTATGCCTCTAGTAGATTTCTGAGAAAAAATTAGATGTTATAAGCAATCTTGGGAATGAGAGATTGTGATAGCCTGAGGTAAATGTGATACTGATTTTGCTCTCTTCTGGTTGGCTAAAGTTTTTGATCTTAAATTTGTTCATGTGGTCCTGGTCAGTGTTTTCACACCATAACTAGTAGTATCTTAAGTGTCATGACTGGTGTTACTATCAGCTAATGCAGTACAAATAACAGTGAAAATTAATGGTAAAGCTATAGCCATTGTAATGGTTACATACAGTAAGATCATTTTTGAACACAGGATATTGAACACTGGAATTATTCTTATGAAGCTGGTTCCCAGGACTCACCAGTTGAAATTAATGTTGTCAGGTGTTTCCCATCCATACTTTTTAGCATCCTTCAAGAACATGATAATGTTTAGAAATTAAATTCTTTAATTTATCCACAAGTGAACAAAGATATAAAAAAAATAAGTAATATATACAGTATGAGTGGCCTTGTTGTATCAGATATACAACCACGAGGTGTAGCCGAGTGATTGTATATCTGATACAACACTGACACGAATACTGTATATGACTTTATCAAATGTCTAGGTTAGTTCCTTTGTGTTTCACTAAAATTTTCAAAATTAAAGTGAATTTGGCCAAGAAAATCCAACTTAAAGTTTATGCAAATAAACACAGTTTTGTATCAGATTTACAACACTCTTCACGGTCATGATATCTGTCGTGTTTTCTCCATGAATTATTAATTAGTTTGATAAATGAAAAATACAAACATACAAAAAGGAAAACACTACAGACAAGTTTCTTAAAATTTACTAAAATAATTTCAACAATTTTGAAAAAAGATTAAAGACTCACTCTGATTGCTTCCCTTAGCAGAGATGCATGATGCATGAGCTTTTTGGGGATGCAGCCAACATTGACACAAGTTCCTCCAAGACCCCAAGTGGTTCCTATGAATGAAATGATGTGAGTCATCAAAAACATGGCATTAATTTCAAATAGGGATATGAATAATCAAAACAAATGGTACTTACCTTGTGGGGAAGGAGTCACATAATCAAGAACTGCTACCTTCTTCCCAAAACTTGCAGCTTAAAAAAAACAAAACAAAATAGGTAAGATCTCACAAATATACAGCATATACAGTCTCATGAGATGGGTGGTTCCAGAAAATATCCATACCCAACAATGAAGAAAATCAAAAATTCCCAGGGGATATGGGGTCAGAGGAAAAAGAAAATTATAAGGTTTGTATGATAGCAGATTGGAAATATSAAAGGGGTGAGGGGAACTTTTTTAAAATTTCCTCCATGGTATGGTATGGAATTTTTTTTGAAACCACACAATTATCTATTAACACAGTTAAAAACTATAGTCTGGTACTGCATGACATCCATGTGGTGCAGAATTTAAAAGTAACATCAAAAATGTCTTGTTCCTTTGCTTCATTAGGTTTAATATTATATATCTACATGCATTTATGCATATGTATATGTATGTCTACCAAGAGGTTCCATGCATATCAGCATAAATCTGGTTTCACCAAATAAGGCACAAACTGTACCTATTAGTAAATGTTTGTGCTATTCAATGTGCAACCATGTGCATCAATTAGTATAAAAGTAGGCAGAACACATGCATAGTTGCAAAATAAGAGGTGAAGTCAATTGTCGCACGAGTAGTCGTACCAATATCAGGATGGTAATGTCATTGACTTATTTTAAATGAACGAAAAGTTTGAAAAGTTTGAAAAATTACGTAGCCATCTGCTCCCTCTACTGTGGACTTGTATTTTCCCTATTATTCTATTGTGGAGCATTGTTCGTAGTTTGAATGTATTACAACTATAGAAGAAAAAAAAAGAAAAGAAAAAAAACTGCAAATAGATTAAATGCAAATGGCACAGGAATCATGTACATGAAGGCAATATGCAATCATTTTCATGAGCACTAAAAAAATAAATAATGAAGGACAAGGCTGTCATGTTAGGTGATATATACTGTAACGTAAAAATTCAAGTGAAATTCTGTTAAAATCAACCAATATGGCGGCTATCAAGATCGGCTTTCAGCTATAACTCTTACCTTCTTTGGAGCAAGCAAGTCCTCCAGAGCCTCCTCCTATCACCACCAAATCATAATCATATCCTAGAAAGATTAGCAGATTTGATGCTCTTACTGTATCTCAGCTCAACAAAAAAAAACCTTCCGAAATCCGACAGATTCTACATGATATATTTCTAATCTATTGGTACAATGTTGTCTTTTCCTTCTTTCTTACATTATATAGGGTTGAAGGTAAAATAAAACATTTTATCTCACCTCGAAGGCTACTCAAAGACCTAAGAATTGAACGACTTTCACCACTGGGTCGGATCGACGTGAGATGGTTTGAGAAAACCTCCACTCGTCTAAGGTATTTCAAAGAGTTCATGGATGAAAGTATAAGCAATAGTGCTTACTCCTGTCTCACCTATATTCAAAAACACTAAGATTTATATATTTTTGAAAGATCAGAGCTCTTTTTCAGCTTTCATTTCTTTAATAATGAATTCGTAGAATAGCTTCCTCCGTCCGCCATCTTTGTTTGCGGTCTCTGGTCTCAATCAAATGCGGGCGCATACAACAGGAAGCCCAAAGTGTAAACATGAGGTCTTTTGAAAGTTGATGGCGTTTTTGAGAAATTTGCACTTATTACCTAAAAGTTTTGAAATGATAATATTAAAAAAAAACATTTAAGTAACCTTAAGCTTGGGCAAGTACTTAGATCAACCAACAGCAGTTTCATTGTTATTTACATCTCGAGGGATTTTGATTGGTCATGTGGTCAGTGTGCTATAACAGTAATCAGAGGCGGAGCAGACTTTTTTTCACGAAGGGGTGCACGAATACTGAAATGAATCACGTTATTTATAATACAGCGCTTCTCAATCAAATGCGCGAAATCGTACAATTTGCTGTCGCCACGAAATGGATTTAGCTAATGAGGAATGCTTTGTTATCGTCAACCAAGATGGCGGCAATGACATAACATTGCACCTACTCTATTTAGTGTCGAATTTAGTCTGGCGATATCAATGATTAAAACTTGTTTATTTCATTGATTATATTCACTACAATTATTCATCAGTTTCGCCACATTTATTTCATTTTATCCCGATTATCAGTTCTATTTATTTATTTTCCATAGTGGTTTTTTTTTTTTTTTTT